AAACACTTCTTTCACTGCAAATTCATCACAAAGTCTCTGTGCAACGCAAAAGATTCCTTGCCGATAGCCTTCGTCAAGAAATGTGCATGCTGAAACTCAGAGGTCACATGCGTAATCGAAATCTCCTTCCTCTCTACCAGTTGCCTGATAAAGTGATGCCGTACATCGATGCGCTTTGAGTTTTGAGTTCGTGATCGGGTTGTGTGCAATCTGAATCGCTCCCTGATTATCCTCGAAGACCGGGATGCACGGCATACCTGCATCTGGCAACATAAAACGCCAAACCTGCCTCAAGAAAAGCACTTCCTTCAAGACGTCGGCAATTGCCACATACTCTGCTTCCGTTGTGGAGAGCGTGACGCACTTCTGCGTCCTCGAAAACCAAGTCACACACCCACCCCCACACATCACTAGTCCTCCTGAGACCGACCTACGGTCTGCTGCCTTGCTTGCATAGTCGGCATCCAAAAACACCTGCATGCTTATACCTGTCACGACGCCCCTCTCAAATGTAATCCCCATCCAACTCGTCCTACGCACGTACCCTAAAATACCAAGTGCTGCCTTCCAGTGCACCATCTTGGGAGACGCGCAATACCGCGCTACTGCTCGTACTGCATTCGCGATGTCCGGCCTGGTTTGAGTGGCCAACCACATCAGGGATCCTACCAACTCGCGAAACGGGACATCAGCACACGCTTCGTTTTCGTCAAAGTCGGTGAGCTTCACGCTCACAGGCAAGGGCACACTCTTCCCCCACTCAACGCCGTACTCTGCAGCCAACTCTTCTGCAAACCTTTGCTGCGAGATCCTCAAAAGGCCTCTCTCTAGATCTCTCTGGTAAAAGCACGCGGAGTACCACCTCAACTCCCCAAGGTTTTTCACGGGGACCATGTCGTTGAGGTCACTGCCAAACTTGTCACATCTCTTCTGCCCTACGGCAAAAATGTCATCCACGGGGACCACAATGATCATGATCACACATATATCCTCCATCAATCGAAAAACACATGCATCCGCCAAACATTGCACAAATCCTAAAAGTAACAAACACCTCGTCAGGTGCGCATGCCAGTGTCGTGATGCCTGCTTCAAACCGTACAGACTCTTGTATAGCTTCACGATCAGTCCAGATAACCTACCACAACCTCGCGGGAGACGCATGAAAACATCCTCTTCAAGCTCAGACTGCACAAATGCCTGCTGAATATCGAAATGGCACAAGTCAAGGTTCTGCTCACATGCTAATGCTGCCAACAAACGCACACTAGACACGGACACGGTGGGTGCAAACAATTCTCCAAAATCAATCGAAGCCCTCTGCATGTCCCCTCGCGCTACAAGTCGTGCCTTGAATTTCGTCGGCCATCCGTACTCGTCTGCCTTACAGTTGAATACCCACTTGGCGTTGATGAAGTTTTCTACTGGTTGCAACACCGGACTAAAAGGACATGCATCCAGCAGAACGAAAGACTCCCGACCGACTGCATCATCCCACAACTCTGAATGTTGAGACCGCATGGCCTCCTTGAACGTTTTCGGCACTCGGAGGTCGCTGGCGAGGCAGTGAGGAAGGTCCGGCGTCTTGTCAGGAGGGCGCTTGGCACGAAGAGTGGCTTCCACATCCTCGCGGGTGGCGAACATTGCTGCGAACATGTGCAGGCCCCCCGGCCCCCCAGCTCCTGCGGCCCCCCCGCTCCCATGGCCTACTAAACTCGTATCTTGCGGCGGTGGGGGAGAGGGAGGGGCGATGTTGGCGGACGGTGGCAGGTCTCGACGTCCTTGATCGACGGCTTCCCGGGTGGCGAGCGACGAGACGAGCGCATCCTTGCCCATCATCGACAGCAGCCCAAGGCGGTGTTGGAGAGCGGTGCCGCCACCTGACGGCGACGGCGGTTGCTGTTGCTCATCCATGAAGCGCACGCGGTCGCCGCGCGTACGGCCATGTACCCTAGTTTCCTTCTCGCCCAACTCTCTGACGGCTCGATGTGAAAGCGGCGGGTGATGGGGAGCGGGAGCGGCGGCGCTTGCGTGCGGTGGACGGGGCGGCGTGGCTGCGGTGGACGGCGGTGCACTCGACGACGCCGTGGATATCGGCGACGGAGCTCCGGACCCTGTGAAGATCGACGGAGAAGCTGGCGGCGGTGAAGCGGGCGGCTGCGTAGCGGTAGTCGCTGTGGGCGGGGTGTGGGTGTACGTCCGCGATGTCCATGGCGGTGGCGGTGCGGCAGCGGCTGTAGGAGCGGCGGCGGCCGGCGAGGGCGCCGCGGTGACCGAAGAACCCCCCCCGCTGGCCGGTACCGGCGCCGGCACGGCGGTGCGGCGGTTGATCCACACGACGTTGTTGGACAGGCAGATCCTTCCGGTGTCGGCGCGGAGTACGACGGCAGTGGCGTCGGAGTGGTTGCGCGCTCCGTGCAGGTAGAAGCAACGAACGGATTGGACGTCCGCCTTGCTGGCGCGCTTCACGCGCATCATCCCCTCCTGGAAAAAGGGGACGACCTTGAGCGGCGGTTTGCGTCCGAAGAAGGCCTCGAACGGCGACATCCAGGCCGGGTTACCCGACGTCGCCGAACGGTTGAAGCAGCCGGATGCCCAGATCGCCGATGCAAGCCACAGCCGGTGTCCGTTGGCGTCCATACCGGGGATGGAGGCGAGGTCGAAGTGGCCCATGGAGAGGACGTGGCGGCGGGCGGCGTGGCCCCCCTTCATGGCTCGCCAGATGGCGCTTTCCACGACCGCATTCTGCTTCGGGGTGTCGGGCGCGGTGTACTCGCGCCGGATGCCAGCGGCGTCGCAGAACGCGACGAAGGCAGCACTCGTGAACTCCCCCGCGTTGTCCATGCGGAAACACCCCAGAGGGCCGTTGCCGTTCAGGTCGGCGAGGAAACGCCGCGTGTACGTCAGGGTGTCGCTCTTGGCCCGCATGCCGTACGCCCGTTGCCACCGCGACGCACTGTCCACGAACATAATCAGGTAACGGGAACCATCGAACGCCTCAGAGTACGGGCCGGTGATGTCGATGTGCACCTTGCCGAACGGTACCGCCGCGCGGGTGACTCCACGCCGCGGCACCGGGGCCCTCCTGCCCTTCGCCTCGATGCAGCCGACGCATGGCTGCAGTTCCCCCACCAATTGAACACCCTGCTGCTTGGCGGTTTCCCGCATCAAAAATTCATTCACGTGGCCGGTGGAAGCGTGGAACAAATTAATGTCGATGGTGGACGTGGGTTTTCCTACCGTGAACGCTGGACCACCGGGGGCGAAAATCGCCAAAGCATGGGAAAGGGAGGGGGGACCTACATCTTGCTGCACACGGCACTCGGCAACGAAGTCTCGGAGCACGTCCAACTCATCTTGCATCACAGCGAACGCGACGGGGGGCTTTACGGACTCACACACGCCTAATGGGTCGGGACAAAAGTCACCCGGTGGGACCGAGTCTTGTCCGTTCATCAAGCCTACATCCAAGAACATACTCATGTCCATCAAAGGCAAATTATCCTGGGACTCAAGGGGCATGATCTCTATCTCTCGCGACACATTCGGGTTCACGACTGAGGGGGACAGGACGTCGGATGAGGCGATGGCTGCGGCTAGGGCAGGCTGAAAATCTCGGATCGACGTAGGCACTACATCAACATCGATAGACGGAGAAACATCACTCTGAGGTACTACACCGGAAGTGGTGGACGGGAAGCTCGAAGCCGAAGGTACAACACCGGCAGTACCGATGGACGGGAAGCTCGAAGTCGAAGGTACAACACCGGCGTGACCGGTGGACGGGAAGCTCGAACTCGGACCGTACCCTGCACCCGATCCTGAAATCTGAGAAGGGGGAGGGGGGTTTTGGGCGAAAAGGCCAGTGCCAACGCCAGGCGGAGACGCTTGGCGGACAACGGGGGGAGGGACAACGGTAGAGGGGATTACATCACCGTCGCGGTACGAGGGGGGCAAGCGGGTGGCCGATAGAGAGCATCCGATATCCGAATATGCGAAACTAAGCCGACCGCCGAAAAGGTGCACACCCCTCTCATCCAACATTATCCTGTGCTTTTTCTGCGTTTGGTGCAGGGAGAACAAGTTGAACGAAATTCCTGGCACTACGTACACGTCTGTCAATTGGACACAAAAATCCACTTCTCTCGAGCGGCCTCCTGCCATGTGGAATGCCAGATTGACACTACCCACACACTCCACGCGCAAATGAGCACCATTGCCTACTCTGATGTATTCTTTGCCGGGGGGAACAGGCGAGATGTTGTACATTTTGGAGCTGTTACTCACAAAATGGTTACTTGCACCGCTATCAGACCAAAATTCCTCCCTACCAGGAATGTACTCGCAACTCTGTACAAAGCTAAACCAAGATCGCCACATGCGACACTGCCTACATCACTCGAAACCGAAAGCGAACTCATCTCGTCAGCGGACACAAAGTGTGCCATCAGGGAGTGCAGATGCCCAGGCGGAAAAGCTGCTGCTCCGGGAGAAGGCGACTGGGGCGGGGCATGGGTGAAGTGCTGCTGCTGCTGCTGCTGCTGCTGCTGCGGCTGAAACGACGGCGGTGGCGGAGGCTGCGGTGGTGGCTGCTGCTGCTGGTAGTACGACGTCGGAGGCGGGTAGTACGGCTGTTGCTGGTAATAGTCTGGTGAATGCTGCTGCTGCTGTTGCTGTTCCCACCCCCCATACTCGCTACCATACGCGGACCCCCCATAGGGCATAGCACGGCTACCCCTATTTGCACGACGCACTTGCAAATAACAACTTGCACGACTCAAACGCTTCCAGAACCACACAACCGGAAACCCACTTTCAAACTCAAAACAGCAGCGAAACAACACAGCCCAGCACATACATAACCATGCATAACCACCGCCGACAGGCCGCAAAGCACGCGCAACGCAGCAGACCACACTGCAGACATGTCCCCCCGGGATTTTGCTTGTTAGAGAGAGAGGAGCGGCACCGGCCGCTGTATTGAACACCGCTACTTATTCAGCAGGCACGAAACACCAGGTACGGCAGGTACGGCGGTACGGCAGTACAGCTACAGAAGAGCAGAAGATATGCTTAGACCCCAGCAGCAAGCAGCCTGCTCCTTAGACTAGGGATGAATCGCCCTTGAATTTTTTTAGTTTTGCCTTGCCACACACTCAACCCTTCGTGTGACGCGGGGGATACGTTTTGTTACCTGCAGCAGTGCAGCAGCAGTGCGTCTCTTGTTTTGAAGGTGCATTACGCACCAGAGCACACCAACGCCGAGAATTTCCTTCGCCGTTTGAGCCGCACAGCAGTAGTCTAGTATTCTTCCGGCAGCTGCATACACTCTCTCCGTGTACACGCACGCTCCCGTTGACCATGTACTACCCGCGGTGTGGGCATACGCTGGCGCACCTCTAGGTTAACAACCGCATGTGGGCTTAGGGCCGTTTTAAGCGGACCTTACGCCGCCGGTGGTTGCAACGGGAAAGCACAATTTAGATCAGACGGGGGTGAATTAACCAGAAAATACCACAATAAATCGCACTCCTCATCCCCCCCGCGCCTTGTCCACGCCGTCCGTACCATACAGGAGAGAGGACCATCCCCTTGTTTTGCATTACGCTACGCTTCGTAC